ATATAATTTACAAATATAAATTTTTTTTTTTCAATGTTGGGGCGGTCACCCATCTTAACACCAGTCGCGAGGAATGCAGCTTGACTTGGAAAGCTACCGACGAGTCATCCTATCAGCTCCCCATTTCTCCCAGGATAAACAAAACTGCATTCTTATATTATTTAAAGTTAGAATAATTATAGTAAATTTACAACAGTCATTTGCCATAAACAAGTCACTTCTGAGTCACACGGCGTTATAAAGTGTTAAATAAAAACCTACGATTGAATCGAAATGTTATACGATCGAATAAAATACCAGAATACATTCAATTATTTCGACGAACCACTTTTCCATGTTATTCAACGAAGAACAGTATCGTACACAGGACAATCGACAATTTAAAATTTACGAAGACGTGAACAACTCTTCAGCCTCTTCACTTTTCTCCGTTTCTCTTCCCTCGCTTTCCTCGCACGATCCTTCGTCTTTCCGATATCAACGCCGGGACAATACTTCGGAGGACACGGATTCTTCGGCATACTTAATCCCAGCTTCTTTATCTCTTCTATGAAATAACGATTGCCTCGTCTCACTTCGCTCGTCATCGATAGACACTGATCCAAATCAGTCTCTGTCTTGAAAATTCTCAAACAAAGGCGAGCTGCGACCCTCGAAAACCGTGTCTCCTCTACCCAAACTGACCGCTTTCGGTTCCGACAGTGTGAGAGATATTACTGTAGCGATAATTAATTCTACGGTTTGAATATTCCCAGCATCAAGCATTCATAATTTAGAGAAGCCAACGATGAGGTGAAAGACCTACAAAAAGAAGAGATCCCTGCATATTCATAGAATACACAATTAGCGATATTTAATTCTACCGTCTGAGTATTCCTACCATCGAGCATTCGTAATTTAAACGAGATAATAACGAACGAAGAATTTACTTCGGGTAATCTACAACTTGAGAGAAATTCTCCATAGATAATTAACGAAATTATCGAAACTATTGTAAATTCTACGTTCAATTGCCGAAAGTCAAACGATCTCTGCGGTAGAAAACCGCTACCTAAACTTCGCGACAATCGAATCGTTAACTATCAGAAGGTTGAGTATTAGAATTGGTGTTGAATTTCAGAACTCGAGTCCCCGCGATTCACGGAGTATCGAGTTTTACGAACTCGTGTTCCTAGCCTCGGGTTTCAGTAATTTAAAGTCGTCAATGCTCGGCTTCGCGGCCTCGAACTTCATAACATTGAATCCTTGTTACTTCACACTTGTCGGTATTAACACAGCCTCTCCCATCCAGGGTTCGTTCAATTCTACGATCCACGAACGCTTTAATACCGTACATTTGCAATTCTGAAGATAACATCATTTAATATCTGTAGTCAAATATCGTTTCCGTACCGCCGTGTCTTGTAACTCGCCGAACGTGTTCGAAATTCATCTTCCTCCTACATTTCACACGATAATAACAATAAATTCTCCAACCGGAAAGCAACCTAAATTGCACGTTTCGTTACACAACCACGTCGCGACCCGTTTCGTTTGCACACATTTGAATATTTGCCCGG